TATAACATCTTACGCGGAAGTCACATCATTGTCTACCTTGACTCATCGTATGATAACGATTAACGATATATCTGAAGTTTCTAAACACATTTAGACTAAAGACAGAATAATATATTTAATGTGAGTAAGGACAAGTTATACAGATTGACAACGCCTGCAAGACTGAGAGATGCCACCTGATGCAATTGAATTGAGTATTCCCAACTTCTCCATTGTCCATCTTTTCTCCGCGTTCAATGTTGAATATCTATTTTCCCAGTTATCTCGAGTTCAGCGTTGATAACTGTGTGGTTAGAGCTCAATGCCACTACAAGTACTTCTAGTTCTGGACACATGTTTCAATCAATCGATGAAAAATGCACAATTCAGGTAAGTCCATACAAAGGAATAAAAAAAGGTAATGAATCAATATCACAGCCACCATAACCATAATATCAAGTGAAATAACACGATTAAAGATAATCTAAATGGAGCCATCTATAGAATCAAAACATTCACTCTCAAATCAACACTCTTGAATTTTCAAATGGACATAGATAATCGTATCATTTTCTATTCTACGGCGTCCATCAGGTCGAAAGAAAACGGTTATTTACATTCAAGGAGTGATGAAACATGGATGCAGTGCACCACGTCTCCACATTAAGTACAATGTTTGGATTTACAATATGTAGGATCACTAATTTTGTTAGAGAAAGCGGCATTGGACGAAAGAATAAGAAACTGAGAGATATCTTGAAGAAGCATGTTGGAGAATAGACCATAATTCCGTGAATATTTGTGGGAATGGCTAATATAAGAATTGTGTTTTGAGGGGGAGCAAATCCATCGACGTTTTCATCATTTATAATATAATTACCGTTGCCGGCAGAGTAGCTTTGAGCTGCGAAACGAAAGTCTCCTGATTGTTCTTGACCTTAACATATGATAGAGCCATGGTGTAAATCTAGGGAACTGGATCGAGAAGGCAATTCGGACTATGTATGCGAATAAGTGGTTATCTATAATTCAATTTACGTTTTACACCTAATGTATACGTAACATATTACATACATTTCTTTACAAGGTATTTGGTTTGTTTTAACTCTCTTTTAACTTGAGGAGAATCAACTGTTATTGAGCATACTACCAGTGATTTGCACAGCTTGCATATATCGATGCCTGGTGCAATTAGCTTACCCGTAGAGCGCTGCACAGTTACTGCAAATGCGTGTTTCAACGACAGGAATTCGAATTATATCAGGTGACTCGTTATCAGCACAAATGTTTATCGTCGGATCAAAAATTCACATTTGCACAAAAATAGACAACATTAAAAGTTGGATTGCCTTCTCCAGGGTTAATAATTTCAAAAGATACGGGAGAGTTGATGCAACACTGCATTACACAACCCAAATATGAAAATGAAGTTTTGAATACGTATATCGTGTACAGTCGTTGATCGGAAAGCGAAGCAAAACAAAATGACGCGAAATAAAGAAGGCGAGTGAGCCAACCCGACTTAATCAATGTTTATAGTCAGACAAAAATAAGCCACAGACATGTGATGAGTAAGATAAGAAGTACACACACGTACGCCCATCTAAAAACAGTCAGAATAAATAAGTCAATAAGTGACAAGTTCAAAGTGTGGTTTAAGAAGAATGAATAGATTGGCTTGTTCGGAAGCTAGAATAAAGTATGCGGGTTTAACATAGCACGGTATCCATGTCCAAGCCAGTATGATACGGTTGTAATTTATGTGCCAATAACTTTGATAAAGCATCACGAAATCAACATAAATTTTACACTACCTGGATATTTCTGCTGACATTGGCACATATTTATATATTTCACGCACTAAGCTAATGACAACAACCTCTTATAGGGAGCTACCTTTTTCCCACAACCTTCTAGACCATATTTCTGCAAGGTATGTCTTATTGCATAGCTCGGTATTTTCTGTGTCATGGCCTTCCAATCCGACTTAACACCTTTGTTGCAAACGCAGACATTTTTTATATATTTGCGGGAGAGTTATTATAGCACATCTATTACAGATAAGTTTGTTCATGTTTCATTTTGTCACGTTCTTTAAACTCTTCATAAGCTGGAAACTTATACGCAGAATTGCCAGTATATCATTCCCGCTTCGGTTTGGACACCCGGGTAGTATCGCAACCGTCACACAAACCGAATGACTTATGTGAAGCATATCTGTTTGATGCCTCCTTGTATCAATGTTTGTGTGTTTAAATAAAATAACCCAGTCGACTGAAGCAGACAAACTCGAAGCTTATATTTAACCGGTATTTGTCGCATTTGGAGCCAATAAAATGTCACTGATCCCCAACTATTCTTCGGGGTAAACCATTTCTATATTGTACGGTGGATCACTGAACAGGTCGAGGCATGTGGCAGCGGTCTCACTGTGTACTTTTCTAATCTTTTCCTATGATAAATTAATTTGGTAAGATCATATATATTCTGATCAGTAGCTAAAGGAACTGGCCACATGCTACCGAAATAGGATAAGCTAGGTTAACTGTTAACCGCAATGACTTTGGTGTAAACAAGGTCACAGCATACGAGCTACACGTTCAGTCAACGGGCAACGCCACGGAGTTATATATACTCCGTGTTCTTACAGTCAGTAGAAGACAAAAATAAGCGACAGACCTCTTCCGTTTCTCAAGGTTGAAATTCGGCCCAACGACAGTGACAAAGAAACAGGAAGCCAGTGTTCGGGTGCGGTTTTAAATCAATATCAAGGTTTTAGAAAGTGGAACGTCTAGTGACATAACACACCTACTTAGAAGTTTACTGGCCTCGAGTTGCCGGGACTGTTACATGGCAACCGAGATCTGATTCAGTAGTTAGGTTATTGCCTAAAGTGTAGGTGACCAAACTCCCGAAATGAAAGCCTGCGATGTAAAGTTACAGCTTTGAAAAGTAAGGGTTTGACGATAAAATTTCCAACTACACCTTCCATATGAAGAATATTTATTTTCATAGGATGATGCTAAATTAATTTCTGGTAGTCTGGAAAGTAATTTGATTGCTAAATACGACCACTGTAACAATATCAGTATTCAAAAGTACTAATTCAGAAAATAAGGAACTAGCAATGAAAACATACTTGACAAACATGAAAAATTCCAGCGAAATATACAACCGACGTCAGATAAATGAGTTGCTTTATTACCAACTTGTTTTAAAACTCACAGGAAGTCTGACCTAGAGTCGCACAGATACTTTTCTATGGAATTCAGTAACTACACCATATGTATATGGGGGTGTGTACATACACTGGTACTATGTGACGTGGTGTACGGTCATTCACTCTTCGGTGAAGTAGTTGTGAAGAGCACAATTCGGTACGTCCTGAAGAATTAAAATATCGTTTGTTTAGTACATTTAAAGTAGAACTAATTTTTTTCATAAAGCCAGCCTAACTCACGAAGAAATATTCGTTGAAAAATTTATTGATACTATCTTCAAATGATGAACGTCATATACTTGATTAGTTTGTGTTTAGCTCAACAACTGTGACTAGTTACATAGCAAAAGGAAAATATTTTAATCGGACTAAAGTCCAATGTTCGGCTAATGACACCTTCAAATAGTGTCCCGTTACTGGTTCAAAAGTGAGGATAAAAATATTAGGTGTTTAAACCAGAGTTACTTAAAAACAAAACAAGGAAGAATCTGAGTGTATTGAAGTTTATTTAACTTAGAAGTCTGTACAAGAACTAAAACATACGAGAAGCATCAGAGAGCGACGATCGTCTGAATACACCTAGTAGGGAAAGAAAAAACCAGTCACATTGGGACAAAACAAGACAAGAGGATAAAAATCTAGTACAAGTACCTAAATATAAATCTATGAAGTCAATGAGAAAGGGCAGGGTACCCATTACCATATCTTTAAATATTTTATTTCTCAAGGAACAGCTCACGGTTTTTGTTTTGTTCACCACTAAACCTGCTTGATACTAAAGAATCGTGTTATACTAGTGCATATCTTTCCATTTTCTATAAATTTTGAATAATTAATCGATCATTGTGAGACAGAACAATACCAGTTTATCCAACCAGTGGCATTGCTAGATCATGCCGACCGAGTTTAGTCAATTATAAAGATGCCACGCTGTCCAGAATTTAACAATGCATTTATACGTAACACCTTTATAATCGGAGTATGTCAACCAAGTCAAATCAAAAGTTGTAAGTTAAAAGTTTATAAAATAATGAAGATGCTACAGGTATTCGGAGTTTGACACCGTTTTAACCAGAAACACCTAATATGAATCATACTTAACATGTCAAATCAAAAGACAGAAGCGAGGAGGTTCTAAGATATATTTGATAAGCTATCAATATATCGAGGATCTACTGATCTAATCTGACTAGCGACTGCAGGGGATGTTAAACATGGCGTCCTCATACGTGATCTGGTGTGGATGCATTACCGAGCGCCTTCAGCTAGGTGAAACCATTAAAAGTAATGTGGTCAGCACCCAATGTCGAAGACTTACAGAGCTATTGGTTTTGAGGTGTGTAGCACAGCACTCGTGATCTGGTGAGGATGCGAGACCAAACACATTCGTCTAAGTGAGTTCATTGAAGTCATTGAGGTCAGTATCAAATGTTGAAGACATACAGTACTATCAATTTTGGGGATTTATTTACCCCTACAAATAGGTAGAGAATGGAAGGGATGTGTCACATTTGAGCAGAGGAGTGGCAAAAGCTGTACGAAAATTATCAGGCGTCTAGATAGTTTTGGAAGGCTGGAATAAAGTTCATAAACCTGGTTATGTATCTTGTGTCTTGCGATTTAAATAGATATTTAGGGGAGAACATATACCTTGCGAAGACATCAGAATTGCCACATGAAATTATAAACATGAGTTATACACATTTCAAAACATATCTCTCGAAAGAATCCAGTGGATTTATTTTTGAAATAAGCAGCGTTTTTATGTGTTAAATTCCTGTAAGTGCTTTGGATATTGAACGAGTATCTAGCTTTCAGCGGGAAATGTTATGTGGTCGATCATCGGACGTTCCTGAAACAAAAGAGGGTGTTTTGGGTATGTTAGTAGTTTTGTGTCATTACTTACGTCTACCACAGACAAAAATGATGTTGCTAAAGGCAGTGCAACGGATGAGACTGGACAGCGCGATTGGGACGAAAAATTTAGGATCCAGGATGAAGACGAACTGTTAGGCAGATCAGATGAAAATCACGACTTATCATATGAAACCCATTCTAACGAAACCGGTAGCTTTAGTGAGTTCCACACTGCAGTTGAAGGCCTTAACGATTCTGAAGAAGGGAGTGGTGACTTTTCCATCAACACGAAAAAAAATATCGTCAAAATCTCTACCGTTACATCAGAGGATGTCGATCCTTTTGAGGATGTCACTGCTGCCACCAATGAAATAACCGACAAAAAAGCAATTTCACCGATTGAATGGGACAGAGTTTCTGACGAAGAAAGCGAGAACAGGGACGAACTTCATGTCGACGCCCCAGGCGATGAGTTCTCTAAAGAGGAAGAAGCTCAAAACTCAGTTCGGTTTTCCGGTGTCAGAGGGCATACCTGCACAAGTGAGAGGGAAAACCACATTGATTCACGCCTTTTTCGTTCTACAAAGTATTTTCTTATCAAGAGCAATAATTTTGAGAATATCGAAATAGCAAAGTCTCGCAATGTGTGGGCTACGACAAAGGGCAATGAGACAAGACTGAATAAAGCATTTTTTGACTACAACAATGTTTTGCTCATATTTTCTGTGCGTGAAAGTGGCCGATTCCAGGGATTTGCGCGCATTATCGCCTCGTCAGACCCTCGGATCAAGGTTGACTGGGTGTTATCTTCACGCATGAATACTGGTCTCCTGAGTAATCCTTTTCGAATTAAGTGGATATCCAAGTTTGTTGGTCATTTCATTTGTTTTGATTACTAGGTTTGACCTCCCTTTCACAAAGACTGGGCATCTCTTGAATGCATGGAATGAAGACAAACCTGTGAAAATTGGGAGAGATGGTCAGGTGAGTATATTGAATATCAACTCATTGCATTTCAGGAAATCGAACCTACATGTGGAGAGGCACTTTGCCGGTTGTTCAATAAAGATCAACTTGGAGAAGAACAGAAACAGCTAAACACAGTTCAAGCTATTGGCGAAAGAATCAGTCGTAGAAATGCATTTGAGAGACTTGGAAAAATCGTTGGTCGCCATGGTCAAACGAGTCATAATGGTTCTCGTGTTGTTGGGTTGAGCAATCAAGACAACACTGGACTGTTGGGGGATGCTACTGGAACAAACCAACGATATATGGCATCTACTGAACGAAGGAGTTTGATGAATTACCCTCCTATAACACCTTTAATCAACACCGATGGTTCGCGGCTGACCTCAACAGGAACTACACCACTATTACAAGTAAACGCAGCTGCCGCTGCAATGGCAGCAGCTGCAGCTATGGCTGCAATCAAATCATCCGGACCACAGTCAATGGGTGCTTTTGCCCGAAGTGGAGCAAACACTCTCAATCCCACAATAAACTCCAGACTGCCTATACAACCACCTAATTTCTCTAACATATTCTCAGCCTTCTCAAATTCAGGCGGTTCTTTCTCACGTTTGAATGTATCTAGTTCCTCTAACGCAACCCTGCTTCCGTTGTTACAACAACAGCAACTTCGTATATCTGGATCAGCAGCAAATGCCGCTGCGGGTGCTGTCCTTTCACAAGCGATACAACAAGCTCGTAGCCTATCCAATCCTAATGTGATAAGTCGACCAGGAATACCACTCAATCCTGTGGCAAACAGTGTGCCTGTAAAATGTCATGCGGAAAGAAGTCGTTCGCGTTCTGCTAGCGACAGCACAGCTTACAGTTATGCTCGAGAACGTAATCCAAGGCATCGGAGAACTGACGGTTATGTGGAAGAAGAGTCTCCACGAATTGAAAAAATTCGACGGAAGTCACATTCCCCGAGGTTAGGTGTTATTGAACAGTGGACACAAGAATCAAAAATTTGTGCTAATTTATTTATTATTTATATATGGACTGTTTCACATCTAGTTAATCACATTGTTTTATCGTGCTTTACGTGAACTGTCGAATTTTTTTCATTTTTGATGCTAGCAACTTGCTTGTACCATGGCCACATGTGGCTTCTATGAACAATTAACATTAGATTTCATATTTTTGGATGTTCGGTTACTAACATAGTTGTGATAGTAGGCACGTGAAGAACTAAAAAATCTTCAGAGGTTCTTGTGTACATCAAACATGTCCATTTTGTAAGTGAAATTTGGCTTAAGTTTGCTTGTGTTGAGGTTTTGTTAGTCTTCATTTCCTGAAGTGAAGTTAATGTTTGGTGGCATATGATTTAATCCATTTCTTTTTAGGAATAATACAGGTAAAGGATGTTTGTGGGTATTTAATTCCCTGTTCTCACGTATTTTGCATTAACATTTGTTTTCATTTTCAATAATGTGTCTTCGCTCACATGGGAACTCTTGGTTTGGTTTCTGTCGTCAAGGAGGCGTGAAATAACATCAAGGCATGGAAATTATGAAAGTGAGTCAAAATATTTCTGTTATTTCCAGCTTTCTGGTTCGTGCATATTTTGTCCGTGAATCGCTTAGTGTCGAAGTATATTCGTCGAATAATGACCTGTGTAATGTGACATAAATACCGATGAACTATTTTTCCAAATATCAGTAAAAGTTTTTCATAGTGTACACAGTCATAATTACGTCATCAGTTGACTGAATATCATGTGAAATGATTTTCCACTGATTGAATCTAAGTAACTCCGATTATGTATTTGTAAGCCATCGGACCTTGTGTTCAAGTACCCCATTAATTTTAAAGTTTTCTTTTAAAGCGCCAATATAATGCTGATCAATTAATAGTGCTAAGAGAATATCATGTGGCTAATTGATATGTGCGTACAAGAAAATCTGCTACTTAGTTACTTTCACTGACAATTAATAAATTGGTGATAATCAAAACGAGCAACAAGTTAATCGAGCATTTATTAATGTTTTGTTTCGTATTCTTATACTTACGCCTGTTACTTCTCGTGGAGGAGCATAGGCCGCCCACCAGCAAACGCCATCCAACCCTGTCCTAAGCAATCCTTTCCAGCTATTTCCAGTTGTTATTCATCCTTTTCATATCTGCTTCTATTTCCTGACGTAATGTGTTCTTTGGCCTTCCTCTTTTCCATCTTCCTTCAGGATTCCAAGTTAGCGCTTGCCTCGTAATGCAGTTTGATGATTTCCTCAGTGTATGTCCTATCCATTTCCATAGTCTTTTCCTAATTTCCTCTTCAGCTGGAAGCTGGTTGGTTCTCTCCCACAAAGGGCTGTTGCTGATGGTATCCGGCCAATGGATGTTGAGTATCTTGCGTAGACAGCTATTGATAAATACTTGCACCTTCTTGATGGTGGTTGTTGTAGTTCTCCAAGTTTCAGCTCCGTACAGTAGAACTGCCTTGACGTTGGTATTGAAGATTCTGACTTTGATATTGGTCGAAAGTTGTTTTGAGTTCCATATGTTCGTCAATTGAAGGAATGCTGTCCTTGCTTTGCCAATCCTCACCTTTACGTCTGTATCTGAACCTCCTTGTTTATCGACGATGCTTCCCAGGTATGTGAAGGATTCCACATCTTCCAGAGTTTCGCCATCAATAGTGATTGGATTTCTGTTCTCCGTGTTGTATTTGAGGACCTTGGTTTTCCACTTGTGTATGTTGAGGCCTACTGATGCAGAGACTACTGCTATGCTGGCTGTCTTTATCTTCATTTGTTCATGTGTATGCGATAGGAGGGCTAGGTCATCTGCGAAGTCCGAATCGCCTACTTGGTTCTGAGCTGTCCATTGTATGCCGTGTTTTCCCTCAGATGTCGAGGTCTTCATAATCCAGTCTACTACCAGAAGAAAGAGGAAGGGAGAGAGTAGGCAGCCTTGTCTGACTCCGGTCCTTACTTGGAATACATCTGTCAGCTGTCCTCCATGCACTACTTTGCACTGTAGTCCGTCGTATGAGTTCCGGACAATGTTGACAATCTTCTCAGGAACTCCGTAGTCTCGAAGAATTTTCCATAACGTTCTATCTACACTGTCAAATGCCTTTTCATAATCAATGAAGTTGACGTACAGTGACGAATTCCACTCAACTGATTGTTCGACGATGATCCGTAGTGTCGAAATTTGGTCTGTGCACGATCGGTCCTTACGGAATCCATCTTGTTGATCTCGAAGTTAGGCGTCTACTGCGTCTTTCATCCTGTTCAGTAACACTCTGTTGAAGACTTTTCCTGGTACTGACAGTAGTGTAATGCCTCTGTAATTTTTACATTTGCTCAGATCTCCTTTCTTTGGAATCTTAACGAGGCGTCCTTCTTTCCAGTCCATCGGCACTTGTTCCTCCTGCTAAATTTTCTTGAATAGAAGATGAAGCATGTTTGTAGTTACTTCAATGTCTGACTTCAGTGCTTCAGATGGTATATTATCGGGTCCTGTTGCTTTCCCGCTCTTAATTTGTCTTATGGTCGTCCTGATTTCTTTGGTCGTTGGTGGATTGACATCTATAGTACGGTCTGTGTGTGCTGCTTCGATGTCCGGTGGATTCATTGGAGCCGGTCTGTTCAGGAGTTCCTCGAAGTACTCTGCCCATCTGTTGCGCTGTTGTTGAATCTCAGTGATTGGTCTTCCTTCTTTGTCTTTGACTGGTCTCTCTGGTTTACTGTATTTCCCTGCAAGCTTCTTCGTCGTATCGTAAAGCTGTCTCATACTTCCTTCTCTTGCAGCTTTTTCCGCCGTCGTTGCTAGTTCTTCCACGTATTTTTGCTTATCAGCTCTAATGCTCTTCTTCACTTTCTTGTTTGCTTCTATGTACTCTGCTTGTGCTTGAAATTTCTCTGCTCGAGTTCGACTGTTGTTAATTACTGTCTTCTTGTTCTTCATTTCTTTGATCTTACCCAGTGTTTCTATAGAGTTCCATTCTTTATGATGATGCTTCATGCGACCTAGAACATCCTGACACGTTGAAGCTAATGCTTCTTTGATACCTTTCAAGTTGTACTCCATAGTAGTTTCTTCTTCCTTCAGTAGATCTTGTAAGGCTTGGAACCTGTTGTTGATAGTTATTTTGGATTCGTTGAGTTTGTTAGTATCTCGAAGAAAGGCTGTATTGAACCTTTGTAATACTGTTCCCTCAGCTGTCCAGTGTTTTTTAGCTTCAGTTTCATCTTCGGCACTACCAGGCGATGATCTGAAGCTGTGCCAGCTTTTCTCCTGGTTCTCACATCTTCCATTGTCCTTCGAAAATTTTTATTGATGCAAATATGATCTATCTGATTCTCTGTGGTGTGGTCCGGTGAGATCCATGTGGCTTTGTGCATACGTTTGTGTGGAAATATTGGGCCGCCTATGACCGATTTGTTGAATGCACACAGATTTGCAAATCTTGCCCCGTTTTCGTTTCTCTCTCCCAGTCCATGCAGTCCCATGATATCTTCATATCCGGTGTTGTCTATTCCGACTTTGGCGTTTAGATCACCCATCAGAATGGTGATATCCGTTCTTGGGCACTTCTCTATGATTGATTGCAGCCTCTCATAGAATTGATCTTAAACGTCGTCGTTGCTATCATTGGTGGGTGCATAACATTGGATAATATTCATTATGATCCCCTCCTTCTTTGTTTTGAATGATACTTTGATGATTCTGGATCCGTGAGATTCCCATCCTACAAGTTCATTTCGTGCTACTTTGGACAGCATTAGAGCAACTCCCTGAGTGTGTGGAGAATTTTCCTATTTTTAACCTGAGTATAGTAGCATCTCTCCCGTATTTAGCCTTTGTTGTCCAGCTTGGGTCCAACGAGTTTCTCTGATTTCCAGTACTGCTAATTTGTATCTCCTGATTTCCGTTTCTATTTGACTGGTCTCGGTCTCGCACATTGTCCAGACGTTCTATATACGTATAAAAATTGTTGCTCTAGTTGTTAGAAGGGGCATCGGCCTCGTGACTTCCGAAGGAACTTAGCTTTCATTATGAGGCGCCATCACTTCTGAATAAAGACCTAACTCCCAGGGCAGAGTTTAAATGGTTTGTATTTTTTTTTCTGGCCAGCGTTTTTTTAGCGAGTTAGTTTTCTACGGGATGTGGTCGCTAACCCCATGCTCAACCCTCCTCTTTTACCCGGGCTTGGGACCGGCAGTAACTCTAGAAGAGCTACAGACGGAATCAAATAAACATGTCTAGAAATGCAGCCATTGATAATACGCACCTGTTTAGGTTTCCGCACTTCACATCAGTACATAAAAGGCACGAAAAGCAAAAAAATTAAAGGCGGTTATGGGATTGGTGATAGGATATGGACTGTAGTTTTTATAGTCGACAAGAGGCCTAAATTAATACCCAAATTTAAAATATAGGGGGAGATAAATGCGTTCACTTTACTGCGACCAGTTTGGTCTATTTCATGTGTGGTCTCTACCGATAACTCATGCTTACTTTGCGGATATTCGTTCGGTACACAATTCCGGATGAGACCAAATTTTGGGCTTATTGATTGATGCCGTTTTTCGTTTGACCAAACTTAACCGTTTTTCAAAGTTATATATACCAGCATAACGCAGATACACGATACTCCTAAAGTTCTTCAACTACCTTATTAAAGAATTCGTGAAAATCAAGTAGCTTTCAAACTTGACTATGAGTTCATTGACCTCATATTTACTTTCGATATATTTGGGATAGTAGACATTTAGAAGTGTACCTACTTCCTGTTCTGTGTAAAGTGGTTGCTTAGTGAGTAGGGAGTTTAGCTTCCAATCACAGTCCTTGATTTGAACTTCGCTCCACTTGCTTTGTTTCGGCCGGTTAAGTAATTATCACCAGCCCCCACTTAGAGTCTTCTCCATGTATCGACTAGCTTTGATTGGATAAGAATCAGTCAATCAGCGTGCGCCAAAGCAATCGTGCATTGAGCATGCTTAAATCCAATCTATGTCCCACTAACACATACCAAGGTTCCTATTGAATGATTTGATGTTTTTAGCAATTTTCGATCCCTGGGGAACAGACGACGTGGGTTGGGAGGTGTTGAAGTAATTTGGATTATCTGTAGATTCATTGGTTAAGTACAGTAATAAACTCAAAATCTGCTTTCTAAACTAAATTTGTGATAATGCACTTTGTATTGTTTTACTTGAATCTTCCCACTGATGTTTAGTACTGAAATTGATCAGTCTCTTAATGGTATATGTGCATACTGTGCGTATTGCCTCGATATTGCCTTAATTTACAAGCATTATAAGTAAAGATGGATAGTGGCTAGCAGTGGAATCCAAGACGCGATGGCGTTTGAAGCAAATGGTACTGGGTTCGAGTCCCAGAGTGAACATCAACTCTGAGATGCAGGTACATCCAGCTGACTAGTCCCAAATAGGACGAAACGCGCGTCGTGGATTCCACTGCTAGCCGCTATCCATTTTTGCTTATAAATTTGTGATAGTGTCATTGGAATTAGGTGTATCAGTTAGCCTGACAAACAATTAGTCTCTTGGCTGGAGACTCAATGGATTTGATTATGTAGATTATATATAATATAAATAGAAACGACGGTAAAACTGAGTCTTTTAAATTATTTGTATGAAAGTGCTCAGGTTGAGTTTCCATATGTCTGCTTGAAAAATGTTGCTTCTGGACTTGCTGATCCTCATTTTGACAGCATAGGATGATATTTTTGAGCAAGTTGGTTACCTATTTCCAAAATCTTGTCAAGTTTGATTAATCAGGATTTGTAAAATTATCATAAATGAATTGGAAACTGTCGACGTACATCGCCTGTAACTCAAGCAAGTTTGTCTATCAATAGGCATGTAGACTCAATAATCCAGACCGTTTCGTCGTGACCGTAAAGTATAGACTTTACTTGGTTACAAGCATTTGAACCTAAGTGTGTTCAAAGTACTAGATATCAGTACAAGGAAAGCATTACTGATGTTCAGCATAAAATACGAGTTTCTGGTAACAAATTGGTAGAAATGTCGTGGTAATTTGCGAGATTACCAAAGTACGTAATCAACTTGCTCAAAAACCTTTCTGTGTTGTCAAAATGAGTATCAATCAGTCCAGAAGCAACATTTTATATCCAGATGTAAAGAAGATCTTCCGGAACAATTTCATTTAGTAGATCAAACTTTATCAACTTCCTTGCCAAACATATATATCATTTACATACTGTAGACCGGTGATATCATCCGGCTGTGTTGTACTCTTTCTCCATAGGCTTCAATCTATTCATCCTATTCTACTTGATACATATAGGAACAATAATGAGCTGGATGAAGTATGTTTCAAAGTCATTGGTCAAGATAAACCTTCAGAACTAAATTTTTTTATTTTTAACACATAGGCATTTGTACAAGGAGGCAACAAATACATATGCGCCACACGAATCTCAATTGATTTGTGTAAGGGCTGTGATACTACCCGGGTGCCCAAACCGAAGCAGGTGGTTTTCTTAGGGGGCCACACCCCGAGCCTTTGACCTGAACGTCTGATCCACAAGGCAGTGGAGCATCGTAAGGAGATGCAGTCCCATGGTAGCCGGTGACCAACGATTGGTTCATACTCCATTTGTTCCTTCAGGATACTGGAGCCCATGTGCACCATTGGTTTGAGATCCGGTTAAAGCGCCGGACATTCGCTTTTCGTCCTCTCATTTTCGTAGACAACACCACTGCCATGTGAAGGCAGTGAGTAGGACTTCCCTGGCAGAGGCTATATACGCGTGGCCATGTGAGAGCATTTCGAGAGGGAGGGCAAACCCAACCCACTCTCGGCCATACCAGGGCATTTGGGGGCTAAATACAGGTATCTGTACAAAAGTTCTTTTGGAGATTTTTAGCACCTGGAATGTTCCTTGGAATCTGATTGGTCGAAGAGAGACCAATTTCAGTTCTTGAATCATTTACGCCCAGAGCATACAGTCTAAATCGTTGAGGGTTTACTTTCGTAACACCTCTATGGTAATAATAATGGGTCATATTTCATGTTAGTTTTTACTATGTCAGACGTTGCTTTTGGTTACTTTGAATACCACACCGAGCTGAAGAACCAACCTGAAAATCTCAGTTCACACAGCCTCATTTTCACGAAGTCCAATCGACTTTATTTAGGTTGTTTCCCACAATAATCCATGAGAAGTACTTTACAACTCTAGGTTAGCAATCGTTTTTGTGTACTAAGGTGTCTTAAAACAATTCTCCATACAGAGTTCTCAATCCGGAAAAACATTGGTCATATAGTATTCGCGTGGTTGTCGTACAGTTAATAACTAAGAAACTGACATTTTTCTGTTGATTCCTTCATCTTTTAAAATTTGTGCAGAGTCCTTCCAAAATTTCCCATAAAGCATTCGTCTTGTTCACTGGGTTGAGAGTAAAACGGTAGTGATTGAATACGTTCTGTTGTCAAAACCCTAAAGACGGAAGCTGTGGACTGCATTCGGTTACCGTTTACTATTCCCGGTACCAAAAATATCTGAATACTTCATTTTCATTATCAAACATGGGGTTGGGTTCTTTGTTAAAATTTTGTGCATCGAGTACCGAAAGGTTGGGTTTGGCTATAAAGCGTTCTGGGAAAGTATGAGTATACAGTTACCTTGGTAACTGTTGTATTGTTTACGACCGTAGTTCTGCTCTGATTCCCTTTTCAATTGTGTACATTCGGTGCAGAGGCGAAATGACGTGAGCATTTATGTACAGTCGAGAAAAATGGCTTCGTACTAGTGCCTTCATTTTTTTTACTCCAGGACATCCGTTTAGCATTTGTGGTGTCATTGTGTAGTCATCGATAGTTTATAGTCTCTTTTGAGAAAAATTTTCGAGGAACATATTTGTAAATTAAACTCAACTTGTCTCAAAAGGTTGCTTTTAATACCTCGTTTGACACTGAAGTGGGTTTATGGCGTATTCTACTTTACAACCGAATTCGAGATTAATTATAATCGGGGCAATAAGCATGTCTTTCCCTTTATATCCTCTTACAATGTCATTAAAGAGAAATTTTATGATTGAGAATTCCCTTGAACAGCTTTTCTGTAGTAACAACACTACACATGAATGTCTGTTAGTGGACTTTATGTAAGTGTTTAATGGTACTTTTTCGTAGAAGCAGTGCGTTACTCTGTTAAGAATATAATTGGATGGACTTCGATTCGTTGGTAAATTTGCTAAGGGTCATATTTGCTGCATTTATATCGTTTATACTTCTTAATCAGGTTGAATATTTTCATTCGTCTCCTTTGACTTCCATTTTATCTGCTTCATTCGATAACTCACTTTAATCATTTCATGCTCTGTTCCTTACCATTTTTTGATTCGCTAAAATGCAGCGAAAAATTCGTACCAGGGTAGTGATTTTGGTGATTCAGTGTTTACTTACATTTCTGGTGCTTTGTCTTTTAAAAGCGTATCATTAACGAAGATGACCTGAAAAGCAGACAAATTTCTACTTAAGTAATTACTCTTCTAAGAGTTAAGCTTTATGTTGACGAAATGAAATAATTTTTTATGCTGAAAAACTATATGGAAATTATTGTAATTATTGATTTGATTTTTCATACTTCGAGGTGTAGTTTGTACGAAAAGTGATTTTATTTACAGCTGTTCTAATCATTAGTTTATGCTACTATACCTATTATCTCCAAAACCTTCAATATTTTAACTTCCTCTGCACAACTGAATTCAACTCTCAATGGCTTATCGATCCAACTTTGCAAACAAGCTCTAAAATGTTTACGTTGAATCATTCAATGAAATTTTTTACATGTACTTCCGCAATAGATGTAATCTGGTTTTAAATTAATGATTATTTTACTTTTGTTGTCATACAGCTGTCAATATTCATTCGAATGAATATTATGATCTGTGTTCTGAGACATCATTTGCATTTGTGTATAAATGTAAAGTATCGCTTATGCTTAACTAAAAATAAAAATATCTACAAAACCTTCCTGTAACTGCCTGCAACTAATATCATAGAAATGTGTTTTATCCTTTTTGTTACACCCACTGCTTAAAAGCAGTGTTGTCATTAAATAAGCTTTTTCCAACTAACCCTAAAAAATGCCAGTGAAATCGACCCGTAGAAAACTAACTCGCTAAAAAAACGCCAACCAGAAAAAAAAAGAAATTGACCCGAGTTGTGATCATTTATATATTTGTAAATAATTACTCAGTGACTAATTTTATAATCTTACATCTACTTGTTTTGCAATTTTAATCGTGTGTAGGACCTCGCGGGCATAGATCTCGTAGTCGATCCAGTTCTCTTCCTATTGACCGTAATTTATTGATGACTTGGGTATGTGAGTGAATTTCGAAGTTATACGTCATAATTTTTCCTTGCAGGACTATGACGACTATGTTCAGCAAGTTAGTCGTGGTATGCGACCGAATATGTATGGTGAATTGGTGAGTTTTGCCTTGAGTAGAACTTCATGTTTCTTATGTCTATGGGTTTGCATAACTTCATTATTCTAGATAGATTTTTTTCAAAAGTCTGTCACATTTTAAATCCTGAACTGTCAGGTCAGTCATAGAGCGTGTTCGTAGTATACGATAATCGGCATTCGGACCAGTTCTTTTGACTTTCCTCTTTGTAATTTTACACAAGCTCCTTTTTCTGTATCTGAAATCATTATGCTAGAATACTTGGATTATTTGTCGCGATTGTTCTTTACTTGATGGTTAATACTCTGATATAAAATTGTTTTTTTTTGGTTCTCCGATTCACTGAAGTAATACTAAGTTAGGTTTTTTAGGCTCCGATTATTATTTTGTTGGGACCATTTATTAGGAAACTCGCTGTTAGGAATCAAATTATTACACGCCGTGAAGAAATCTCAAAAAATTCAATGTTGTGCACTTCTAAGGAGTCCCATACTAGCACAAAACGGCCGTCCGGTGTTTCCACGTTTTCAATGGTGATATAGCTTAAATCGATTCATGAATTCAACTATTAAAAAAACTTGAGTCTGTCAAATATTCTAGACGTCGAAATCCGTTATTATTTGTTGGTAACCAGACTAATTCAATTATTTATTTTGTAGGGAAGTCGAGTTGCCTGTTCAAGTGCTTATTCACAAATTTCCCAAAGTCATGAAAATGATCTGAAAGTAAGCTTTCTACTAATTTCTTGTTTCATGTATTATGCTTTAAATTGTATTATTTTCTTCGTGTTGTTAACAGTTGAATTGTAATTTTACGTGCATCTCTTTCCTATATTTTTTCAGTATGAAGAAAAAGTCGATGCGTTTTTACGCGGTATTGGATCACGTCCTAAAGTTGCAGGACATGATCACCACTACTCACGCAGTCCTAGCCGTAGCTGTTCATATAGTCCACCTCCACCTCATCCCCACAACCGTCGTCGTGAATATTGCAGGGGTTCATCATCCTACTCCAGATCCAGGTCTCCTTCCGGGCCAAGCATACTTTTATCCAAGGCTCGACGTGGAGAGGTAGATCCTGATGCTTATCGTCACCGCCCACCATCCCAATATTTATCTCCTCGTCGGAGAGACCATACATGTTCCCACAGCCGCTCTCCTGCAAGCTTCGGTCGTGAACTTCCAGCACAATGGAGAAAGCCTTCACAGGCTTCCGCAGCTCATTCAACTGGAAATAGACAACGACACCAGCAAATAGAGGGGCGAGTTCCTTCGCACCAAACACGATCCCCTCGTGTTGTCTCGAGTGGAGGGTCACGAACGTACACTACAAGCAGTCGTCATCACAAATAGCTGGTTTATGTAAGTATTCCTCTATGTTTGTGTGTTACACTACACTACTTATGCTTTTAAACTATTTATCCATGTTATTTGCATTCTGTTTAACTTTTAGAAGTTTTCATGCCTCTAAACCGTCTTTTATTTATTTATTTTAACACAGATACAAGGAGATACCAAATACATATGCGCCACACAGATCTCATTTGATACGTGTGAGGGCTGTGATACTACCCGGGTGCCCAAACCGAAGCAGGTAGTTCTCTTAGGAGGCCAAACCCCGAGCCTTCGACCTGAAGATCTGATCCACAAGGCAGTGGAGCATCGTAAGGAGATGCAGTCCCATGGTAGCCGGTGACCAACGATTGGTTCATACTCCATTTGTTCCTTCAGGATACTGGAGCCCATGTGCACCATTGGTTTGAGATCCGGTTAAAGCGCCGGACATTCGCTTTTCGTCCTCTCATTTTCGTAGACAACACCACTGCCATGTGAAGGCAGTGAGTAGGACTTCCCTGGCAGAGGCTATATACGCGTGGCCATGTGAGAGCATTTCGAGAGGGAGGGCAAACCCACCCCACTCTCGGCCATACCAGGGCATTTGGGGGCCTAAACCGTCTTGCTTTTTGAAACTAACAGAAATTTCCAAGTGTGATCTACAATACGGTTTATTGTAGGAGTGCCAATTATTTAGATTTTCTTGCTTTTCATTTACCTATCTAATATTTAGATATATACATTCTCTATTTATCCAGTCCTTCACCGAGATGAATCCGTTGCTTACTGTAACATTGGCAAACACTAATTATGTTAATGAGTGCTACGCTGACTTTCGAAATTCAAATAACAGTAGTGTTCAAAAAAGTATATGCTTGAGAATATTATGAAAATTGATGTCATTTTTATTAAATGGTAGGTAGAATACGACTCATACCAGGTAGCATTTCAGTCTCCCCATGAACTTATCTATCGCATGCAATCTCAGTACTGCCCCCTTCAACGTTTATTGAGAATAATGTCTAACCTATAGTGAAATATAATAAAGCAAATTTTATACTCATTTACCTTCAAAAGTAAAATACAGCATTGATTATTCTAATCATGTTGACCGTTCTGATATCAAACAGATTAATATATCATCAGTGAGGGAGGGTGGTATTGTGTCTTACAGTATTGAATTTTTCAACCGCTTACACTAATATGTATTGACCTTAAAAACAGTTTAGATCAAATCCATCACTCCAGCCGATTTTGAGCTGTTACTTTATATAACAGTTGATCGGAATTATTCCGTTCACCGCAATCAGGTAGTTTACCTTCCCTTTCTCATTGACTTCATAGATTTATATTTAGGTACTTGTACTAGATTTTTATCCTCTTGTCTTGTTTTGTCCCAATGTGACTGGTTTTTTCTTTCCCTACTAGGTGTATTCAGACGATCGTCGCTCTCTGATGCTTCTCGTATGTTTTAGTTCTTGTACAGACTTCTAAGTTAAATAAACTTCAATACACTCAGATTCTTCCTTGTTTTGTTTTTAAGTAACTCTGGTTTAAACACCTAATATTTTTATCCTCACTTTTGAACCAGTAACGGGACACTATTTGAAGGTGTCATTAGCCGAACATTGGACTTTAGTCCGATTAAAATATTTTCCTTTTGCTATGTAACTAGTCACAGTTGTTGAGCTAAACACAAACTAATCAAGTATATGACGTTCATCATTTGAAGATAGTATCAATAAATTTTTCAACGAATATTTCTTCGTGAGTTAGGCTGGCTTTATGAAAAAAAATTAGTTCTACTTTAAATGTACTAAACAAACGATATTTTAATTCTTCAGGACGTACCGAATTGTGCTCTTCACAACTACTTCACCGAAGAGTGAATGACCGTACACCACGTCACATAGTACCAGTGTATGTACACACCCCCATATACATATGGTGTAGTTACTGAATTCCATAGAAAAGTATCTGTGCGACTCTAGGTCAGACTTCCTGTGAGTTTTAAAACAAGTTGGTAATAAAGCAACTCATTTATCTGACGTCGGTTGTATATTTCGCTGGAATTTTTCATGTTTGTCAAGTATGTTTTCATTGCTAGTTCCTTATTTTCTGAATTAGTACTTTTGAATACTGATATTGTTACAGTGGTCGTATTTAGCAATCAAATTACTTTCCAGACTACCAGAAATTAATTTAGCATCATCCTATGAAAATAAATATTCTTCATATGGAAGGTGTAGTTGGAAATTTTATCGTCAAACCCTTACTTTTCAAAGCTGTAACTTTACATCGCAGGCTTTCATTTCGGGAGTTTGGTCACCTACACTTTAGGCAATAACCTAACTACTGAATCAGATCTCGGTTGCCATGTAACAGTCCCGGCAACTCGAGGCCAGTAAACTTCTAAGTAGGTGTGTTATGTCACTAGACGTTCCACTTTCTAAAACCTTGATATTGATTTAAAACCGCACCCGAACACTGGCTTCCTGTTTCTTTGTCACTGTCGTTGGGCCGAATTTCAACCTTGAGAAACGGAAGAGGTCTGTCGCTTATTTTTGTCTTCTACTGACTGTAAGAACACGGAGTATATATAACTCCGTGGCGTTGCCCGTTGACTGAACGTGTAGCTCGTATGCTGTGACCTTGTTTACACCAAAGTCATTGCGGTTAACAGTTAACCTAGCTTATCCTATTTCGGTAGCATGTGGCCAGTTCCTTTAGCTACTGATCAGAATATATATGATCTTACCAAATTAATTTATCATAGGAAAAGATTAGAAAAGTACACAGTGAGACCGCTGCCACATGCCTCGACCTGTTCAGTGATCCACCGTACAATATAGAAATGGTTTACCCCGAAGAATAGTTGGGGATCAGTGACATTTTATTGGCTCCAAATGCGACAAATACCGGTTAAATATAAGCTTCGAGTTTGTCTGCTTCAGTCGACTGGGTTATTTTATTTAAACACACAAACATTGATACAAGGAGGCATCAAACAGATATGCTTCACATAAGTCATTCGGTTTTTGTGACGGTTGCGATACTACCCGGGTGTCCAAACCGAAGCGGGAATGATATACTGGCAATTCTGCGTATAAGTTTCCAGCTTATGAAGAGTTTAAAGAACGTGACAAAATGAAACATGAACAAACTTATCTGTAATAGATGTGCTATAATAACTCTCCCGCAAATATATAAAAAATGTCTGCGTTTGCAACAAAGGTGTTAAGTCGGATTGGAAGGCCATGACACAGAAAATACCGAGCTATGCAATAAGACATACCTTGCAGAAATATGGTCTAGAAGGTTGTGGGAAAAAGGTAGCTCCCTATAAGAGGTTGTTGTCATTAGCTTAGTGCGTGAAATATATAAATATGTGCCAATGTCAGCAGAAATATCCAGGTAGTGTAAAATTTATGTTGATTTCGTGATGCTTTATCAAAGTTATTGGCACATAAATTACAACCGTATCATACTGGCTTGGACATGGATACCGTGCTATGTTAAACCCGCATACTTTATTCTAGCTTCCGAACAAGCCAATCTATTCATTCTTCTTAAACCACACTTTGAACTTGTCACTTATTGACTTATTTATTCTGACTGTTTTTAGATGGGCGTACGTGTGTGTACTTCTTATCTTACTCATCACATGTCTGTGGCTTATTTTTGTCTGACTATAAACACTCGCCTTCTTTATTTCGCGTCATTTTGTTTTGCTTCGCTTTCCGATCAACGACTGTACACAATATCAGTCAGTAACAACGTGGAACTTCGTACGTACGTACATCAGTTCGAGTTGCCATACTACATTAGCACAGATATGCAGTTATCGATTCCTCTGGCGGACCCCAACCAGGTAGACTATAACTACCGGCGGACTCTTATTTAGGGTCGACCTTTGAACGAATCTTAAGTGACCTTGGGAATATTAGACAATCAGAAAACAGTTAGTATAAAGTAAAAATATATTAGAAGAAACTAAAGAATTACAGTGGATATACTTCTTTTATATGATTTAAAAACTTGTTATGATTTGGTAAATGTTCAGATGTTTTGAAATCAAATTGCATACGGTATAAGAACTTATCCATATGGCTCCATAATAGTCGACCTTTGGAGCCGTGATATGGTCTTAAAAACTCCTTTCAATCTTGACACATCGCTTCAATGTTATTAGTATGAACCCTGGTTGTAGGGTCAACGAAATTACGTTTGTGGACTACAACTTGATGGACATATCCAAGTCTTTGATGACATCTGTATGTTTTCCAGTCATCTGTATATATCGTAGTACCCGTCAGCACGTATTCCTGTATTATTGGTATTATTATGGTTGCTTGCCGGTTTGTGACCATCTGAAAATGTCCCTTTCGAGTTGATCTATCATAAATCCCAAATACCTGTCAAGTATATTTACGAAAATGCTACTTACCCAATCTTCCTTTATACTACGCCTGCTGTTGTATTTTATCTTTCTCACTACCGTTTCATCTATCTCCACGATGCATCCTACTCCTCCGAATGATTGGTATATACTTGTCACTTTAGTTGCGCATATGTCCCGACAGTACTCATACCACTGGACTGCTGAGGTTTCAGTAATATCTGCAAATGCCGCAGCCAGTGTTACTGGTGTCTTTATTACCCAATTCTCAACTATTATCATGATCTCTCTCAATTTCAGTCGCGATCGAGCAAAGAAAGTCTCCGTTCTAGCAGACTTTTTCCTCCAACATGAAGGACAACAGAATATAATCTCACCGCGGTTGTCTGCACACTTTACTACAGTCATTTGATAACCGCAGTCACACGTACAAGAACTTCTTAGTAGTCCCATCTCTTGTAGCCTCTCAGTAATAACCTCTTCTCTAAAATCCGCTGTAAACCGATCATTCATTGAGTGAATGAAAATTTCACTATGCAATATAGAATACAGTTGTCGTAAACTTGTAAACCGGTTTTCCACATGATAATTCATAATCAAAAATTCCATAAGTTGTACACCGGCGTAAACATTATCTTACTTGCTTGAGTTTGTACTGTTGCAAATAACCTAATTAGGCTTACTAAACAGTCACTAAGCTGGTAAGCAAATAATACGTCAAACTGCAAATAAAATGGAATAAAAACTATGTAGCAAGCATAAACAATACAAAAATGTACGTGAGATGGAAAAAAGCCTGTTAATAGCTGATTAATAAGGATACAAAAGATCCACGACAATATGTTACACGTTAGCGAAAACCCATAACGGCCGTACTGTGCCTCGAATGTGAGCATCATGCGTTAAACTTGGCTCCGTGACCTTGAAATGGCTCAAACTCTTCTGATTGGCTCGTCCTTAAATTAGAGTCTCGCCAATTATGGGGGACGGTAAAACGTGTGCTCTATCTTATGGTTATATTTATAATAATGACGATAGGGTCTTTTATATTCATCATCGGTCTAGATATTAGGCGGTCCATAATAAATTGCCCCGTTGGTGAGCGGGGGGTCATGGAATAAACGATGAAGCTCCTTAGTGTCAAGTGATAGTGTTATTAATGTTCTGAACCTGATGATAGTGTCACAGTTACTGAAAGGTATCGGTAACCTATTCCATAATAAACCATACCGTACTGAAAAAAACTTACAAGGCAATTGTTTTCGGTGTTTTACTGTGAGTTGTGTATATGCGTTGTTTCTGCGTCTATACGCGGGGACATGCATCATAGTTGAGCAGGAAGCTAGAAATGAGTGAAGTGGCATTGGGCCTTAAACACACAATCACCAAAGCTGAACAATAGACGATTGGGAAAGTCGATGTTCAGCATTAAACGCGGAGAAAAACCCGACAATGGATTAGGCGGGAACAATGAATTAAATAATTTCGAGTTGGTCGGATGGCATGGCTCGGCCATGCAGGCGAGGTCTCTGTTGAATGTTACCGCATATCTTTTATTCAAAATAAATATATTGTTCCATCTCAAGCCTGAGTGTGTTCTTCATCATATATTGATGAATGTTACGATGCGATGAGGTGGTGTAGACAATAATGTGACTTCCAGGTAAGGTCTTACGCTTGTGGTAAGTATGAAGATTGCTATAATCTCAGCCCCTTGTTGGAATACACTGTCTCTACTAGCTCCATGTTACGGGCAAATCAGATAATTAAAGCATTTGTATTATGAGCTAGGCATCCATTTAATATATGACACTATTATGAAGATAACTGTAGGGCCAGTGAAATTCCACTGAGCCCTAGCCATTGAATATCGAACAAAATCATCAACCCTCGTCAATGTAAAGGACAACCAACGCGCATCAGTTAATCGTACGCCATGGACTGGCCCATGCGGCAGTGGTCTTACCTTCGCTTGTATCTACTTTAACTAATATATTTCTGTAATATCGTCCTCTGTGTTGTACAGTCTTCAAAGCATCTATAGTACCTTGATACGTCGATGGGGTAATCTATGTAAGGTGCAGACCGCGAAGTGTGACTTCGACGTTAGCAAGTTTGTCA